AATCTGTTTTTATTTTTCATAGTTTTCAGATGTACTGGTAGTTTATTGACCATTTTCGGTCCATAGAAAGTTATGAATTGTTGAGTTTGATTTTTTGTATAAAATGGAGGTTTAATTGACAGGTTGGCAGTTGTTCTAGTGTTATATGCATGAGTGTGAAACACGTTTGAAGAGTTCAGTGTCCATATTAGACTGTGGTACACATATAATTTCCTTACTTCAAATAGTCGGGTTTCAAGATAGAGTGAAGTAGTTGGATATCTGCGATTTTTTTTAAACATGATTTTTATCAAGCAATTCTGTATAACTTGAAGATTGTTCATGATAGTTTTACCTACGCTACCCCAAATTATAATGCAGTATCTTAATCAGATATCTTTCAGATATTCAATAATTTGAGAAGGTGTAGTGTGTCAAGGTGGGTTCCGGGGCAATTTGTTCCAGTCTTGCCCATTGTGCGTAGGAGACAACATATTGTCAAGAAATTATTTGGATATTTGAAATAAAACTTCATTTGTCTGACGATAATAAAATTAGTAGGAGACATCAAAATAATAACGATATTGTTTTTGGGAATACTTTATTTGGCAGAGAATTCCAAAACGTATCTTTTCTATAGACGAACGAGTCCTGGTAGAGAGTTGTTCGACATATTTCGAGTTTGCCGGAGAAACGAAGTGCTGACTGAGCATGTCAAGTTCGTCTGACTGCGTAAGACAGGGGCAAAGTGTTCAATTGATTCATCAAGTACTGTTAATTATAATGTAATTTTTCTGTGCTGAATATCAAATTTCAGAACTTATTACCACCTACACTTCTATGTTGGGTTGTAATCGTGCATGTCATGTTTTTTTTTTTCTAATATTTGGGATAATCTTGTAGGTACCAGTAGAACTATTCTTAATAATGAATGAACTCATTATTCCAAATTTTTTTGGGATTTTCTCTCCTCGTTTCTAAAAAATAAAAATATGAATATTATTTCAATATACGAGGAGAGAAAATCCCAAAAAAATTTGGAATAATGAATATACCACCTCCTCGATTAACCTACAGACAGTATTTAATGAATGAACTGTCAAACAATATGAATATGACAATTTTCTCTGTGGTATGCCAATTTCGTTTTCTGATTTTCCCTAGCTATTCTTATAAGAATTGAAATAGTGGATATCCTTCTTCCTACCAGATATATGAGAATGAACTATATATTTGAACCAGTTACAGATTTCCACATATATTATTTTGTCAAAATCGTAGAGATACTAATAAAATGTTACCTGCTTGAATAATTGCAATCATCATGAGCTGGTTGAAGAAAATACTATTATTTTGAAAATCATCCTACTGATATCACTACTCAGTTGTTGTTTATTTTGATGAGCACATGAATAAGCGGTGAATGACAAAGAATGACAATGCGTGATGGTTTTATTACAGAAAAAATAACTGTTTATAGAAACAGAAAAAAAACTAAGTCTGGAAACTATGATTCCATGTATTTCAAGCTTTACTTCTGGCTAATACTATGGCACAGTCTGTTTCACCATTTACCATGAAATCCTATTGATAATCAATTTGAGCACAGTTCCAACATACGTCATTACTTTGAAACCAAACTATAAATCATTAACTTTGCTAGTGATAATAACCTAACGTAATTGAAAATATTTGATATTCTGTACTACTCCAGGGATCTATTGATTTTCAGCTTCAATTTGATCGATGAAAGAATCATTGAAAAACATTTAAAATTTGATATAATTTGTTATTCGAACAACAGGGTCCATATTATGTATATGCTGAACCTAAAAGAAACACCGAATATTAAAAACTCGAAAGAATAACTAGAAGAAACAAAATATCACATTGGATTCAGTATTCCAGTGATGGCTAATTGGCTATCCTAATTTTTCATATTTCTTGAATCTTCTCTCACATATTTTAATATTAGGATAGGAGCTTAGAAAAGTAAGATTACTCAATCAAAAACTAATGTGAATCATTATTGATGGACAATGTCTTTGCCGGGTTGATGAGTATTTAATTGGTAAAAAACCTTGAGATTATCGTAGTATTTTGTATTGAGTAAAATATAAAATAATAGTTTCAATTTATACGAAATGAGATAGTAGTAGCCATTTAGCAATTTTCCATAAACTTAATTTGAACAAAGATTGAACACTCACACATACTGTGTGTACAATTCTTGTTTTCAATGAATTTGGTAGAAGTAGAATCGTCATATTTCATGATAGTCAAATGACAATAATTTTCTAGTTGATTTCACCGTTGTTCCAACCATGAAAAATATGTCTAGAATCTCTTATTTAAAGCACTCAATTGCTTTTAAAACATATAAATCATTCGATACTATTTTTATACTGGATATCTTCAAAAAGAATACAATAATTTATGCTATAACTAACAGCAAGTGTGCAGTGTTGCTCTATGCTCTATATTACTAATCCACTGATGAGTACAGATTGTGACTTTGACATACATTTCCCTTTCTTTCAAAACTGGAATCTAAAAATTTGATAATCATTGTTAATTGGTCAGAGATATTGTATTTTACGTAGGACCAACCTTTTCCTACACATTTTCGAAACAACTGACCACAGAAACAGAGCTTGCTCCTTTTTCACTGGTCCTCATCTTTCGACACTATCGAATTTGAGAAAATTCAACTTGCTGAGCTGTTCCCAAAAATTCATCGCAAAAAATGCAATGAAGAGATATGTGATGCTCACTACCAAAACAAACACAATATAAATTTTCTTTATGTTTCTGGTAGTGGATCACATTAATTGCATAACGATTATTATTTGAAAAAGTAGAAATTTATGAAAAGTTAGATATTTCAAAAGAAATCATATAGATATTTATTTCGCAAGATTTTTTGAGTTCTTTTTCATCGTTTATAAATAAAAATATTAGTATTATTTCAATATAGTAAGGACAAATCAGACGATTTGCTCCAAATATCACTGTCCTTAAAATTTTCCTGTAAAACTAAGAGGAAAATTTAAACGCTAGTCATTTTGTTTGGAAAATCCCAGTGACAAGCTGTCAAAAAAAAAATGTGAGTGTAAGGGTGTTGTTCTAATTGATCTTGAATTTACCATTTTCATATTCACGTCTTGTATATTTTCATGCATTTTTCGTTCAGCTCTGAAGATTACGTATTAATAGTTATTTAACCAACTAGTGTATTAATGAGGGCGATTAATGATCGAGATATTTTAACGTGCGAGCGAAGCGAGCGCGTTAATGTTCGAGATCATTAATACAAGTTGGTTACAAAATTTTTCCGTCGACTATATTTCTCCTGCACTGAAGAAAACTTGGTTCGCGAATTTATCATTCATCCGGAAACTGCTAGGAACATTAGTGACATTTGTCGAAATGATCAACATAGTAAATAAATTCCTTGTGTTAGAAAATATAAAAATCGTGTCAGAAACTTGGGAAGGCGAACCCGTTAACGGAAAATCTTCGATGAAATCCATATTTTCGATTTAAATGCAGATTCCGTAAGTTCTAGCATAAACAATGAATGCGCGCGGTGTATGTTTGGTTGCCTATAAAACAATCGTGCATTAATAGACAAATTGATCATTAATAGGGGTCATTAATGAACGATTTCATGAACATTAAACTTACTCGTTAATACGAGGTCGACGGAAAAAAATTTAGAACATATTTTTTAACCATAGCGACTAAGAGGGTATAAAACACAAAAACTAAGACATTATTATGGACGTAACGGTTGCATTTTCTCCTTAGGTTTCTGATAGGGAAACTTTGAGTGCAGTGACATTTTGGGTCAAATCATCCGAATTGTCCTCACTACAGGTATATTGAAATAATAGTAATATTTTTATCGATAAAGTCAAGGAGTGAAAATAGCAGAAATATATTATACTGCGTTCAAGTCGTTAGTACTAGAAAGTTTTTTTTTCTCCTGATAATAACTGGAACGCACTGTAGATCTGAATGATTCATTAGGATTCTGTCCTCTATTACCTACATACATACACAGTATCTCACCTCAAACGCCTCTCCCCCCCTCTATAGTTCAGCTATTAGTCGTGAGATTCTTACCAACTTTTGACCGGTATGAATGAATATCAATATGATCAGTTTTTCAGAGACGAACATCATTTCAGACAGTTAAGTGCTTTTATATTAAAACAAAAAAGGGTCATTTTTTCATGAAATCATATTAGGCATTTTTTTACAGGAAAACTAAACATGATATTATTCTTTATTGTTGTGAATTTTCATATGATTTCTATGAAGGGTTTCAAGAAAAACAAGCACATCAGCGAACTAAAATGATTATTTATTCGGAAACGGTGAGTTCAACAATAAAAAGTATATCTTGTCTTTTTTCTCAAATCAACGTTCCAAAATTTGCAGCTAATTCAAATTCACTATTTTTGCGAGGCAGAAAATGAAAAAGTTATTTTTCCTGCAAAAATATGATTTCATAGAAAATCGACACCTTTTTATTTCAATTCGCGATTCAAAATAACACGTCGCCCCACCTGACGGCAACAACTTGAACACTTCTGAGCGGTTTGTTTTGATGATATGACAAATGAGCACAAACAAAAAACAAATGTGAACCAATGAATACAAAATAAACATGCGCTTTGACAGCTTTCAAGAATTCCGATAGATGACGTAGGCTTATTTTCTATCGCGAATAAAGAAGAACGGCACTGTCAATAGGATTTTCGTCTCTGAAAAACTGATCACATTAATGGTTATATTCTTAGTGGTCGAAATTTAGTACAAATCTTACAACTCATAGCTTCAAATTCGAACTTTATTTCAAATTCTGAATACTTTATTGGTAAATCCTAGATACTTTAGTGTGCCACCTTAGCCGTCGTGTTTCTTCCCCTATACCCTCTATATAGCTCCTTACTAACATACAAACAGCTTTTCGCTTGAGTGATGCTACAGCATGTTGTCCCTCTGGGTTTCAGCATCGGACTGTGTTTCAGACGTGGGCCCGGCGTCTGTAATCGTCGGCAATCTTGTTCAGGGCAATCGACTTGCCAGCGCGCAAGGTCGAGAAGTCGGTGGGCTGCTTGATGAAGAAGCCGATTCCTCTAAAAAGGTAGGTGGAAATCACCGAGATTATGAGATATGATATTCTTCACAGCTTCTAATGTTGAGGGGGAAACATCAGGAACTCACATGAGTTCGTCTTCAGTCTAACTTCAAGCAATAGAAAGTTCTGCGTACATAGTGAGATTTCAACTACATAAATAGAGGTAAATTGAAGATGAACCAATGTGAAATCAAAACAACTATCTGATGATTCCTCCTCAATATTGAAAGTTGTGGTGACGTGACGAGTTTTCTTTATTCTTTCTTAAACGTGCAATTCCACTTTTAAAATGTTGGCAGCAAATTGAATACGAATAGAATCAAATTGTTTGCGAGGCAAACCTATTTAATTTCATGAAAATAGATTTCAAATATCTACACGAGCAACTCTATTCTTTAAAAAAATGTATTCAATCGAGTTTCAACTTCAATGATGATGTCAGTACAAATTATTTCAAAATTTTTCAACCAGGGTTATCTCCTAAGAAATGAAAAAAAAACAATATTTCAATCAGGACTAGTACTCTGATTACAACCTTTTGTTACGATTTACTGTGAAAATGTACACTAGTTGTCTGTGCTTTATTTAAAATGATTACTATTTGCCATTTTTATCTAGAGTTCATAACTGCATATATGAATTTATTAAATTGCCACAAAATCTAATGAAGTATAACATTTATTATGTATTATTTATTCTAGCAATTAATTGCAAATCAATGGGAGATACCACTGATTGTAAATATAGTTTTGAATTTCTTCATTCATACTATATAGAACGATAAAAAAATAAAACAAAATAAGTTCATTTCAGAACACACACTTTCTTCGCAATTTGAAATAGTGTCAGTTCATTTAAGTGACTGGTGTGACGTATTGGTCCCAACACACCTGACCAATCACACTGCAACATTGCAGAATGGCATGGTATCAGAGAGGGAGAGAGAGAGAGAGAAAGAGAGAGATAACTACAGTTCGGGACTAATACGCCACGGCTGCACCTTTATATCACAGTATAGACCCTTACGGAAAACAGTAATTTAACTTTTGCGCGAACGTTTGATGTTGGTGTCCACAAGTTTTATTTTTTGACAAACCAGTGCGCATATCACCACTCACAGACTTGTGCGTTACTGGCTTGGTCAATCCAATTGCAAGCCAATTACTGCTCGCTCGTCATCACTGAAGAATCCTGGGAAGCCCTGAATTTTATGTCAACAGGTCCGGTTCCAAATAAATAAATAGCCTATCTACGCACTTAACCCTCGTAAAAACATTGAAATTTAGATTATAAAAAAAACTGATTTAAATTATTTTTTTTTTAATGAACACACTGAGAATCGAGAGGGGCGTTGAAATATAATCAGATTGAATATTACAATGATAACTAAATCTGAAATGATGAATATTATAAATAAATATTGCACAACTTTCAATTTGAAATTTTGGTTTTTAGTTTCTGGTTGTGATAACTCTCTGTTCATAAACTTCAGAGTATAAAAAATCCTTGTTCGAATAAACAAACTGTTGAGATAATCAAGCGGAAATTTTTCAGAAGGATGTATCAGCAGAACTGTTCTTGTTATTTCTTCCTTCAATCTGATAGCCAACATTAGGCTGGACTGAATAATTAGGGAAATTCGAAGCAAATATATTTTTACTTACTCCTAGGTATGAAAAGGAATACTGTTGTAGCATATTGAAATTTCCATATGTATATTCAGCAAAATTTTCATATGCTCCAAAATGTGAATATATTCCTCCATCAACCAGTTCTGTTTCTGACTTTGCATATATCACAAGTATGTAGCTGCAAACATTTTCCAAAATAATAATCAACATGATAAAATGAATCACAAATGCATATAAATGAAAGAAGTGTAAACAAAACACCTGCTCTGCTAACTGCTACTGATTTCCTAAGGGTCTTTACTGTGTTTATATCTGGGTTTTTGAAATATCGAATGGAATATGCTACCGCTATAGATTCGATTCCTTTCAACTTCAACTTATAATATTGACTGTATATCAAATGTAAATCATGATTCATCGATCAAAAGGGGTTTGGAAATTTCATCCCTCAGTGCATGGTCTTTTCCATTCTCATAAATTCGGATGCTCAAGAGGAACAATCGAAATATGAATAAATTATCTATAAATCATTGAAAACAGACATATAAACAAGCGCCTCTTATTGTTTTGTCTTTTAGAATACTTCGAAATCAACCTTTTCGCCTATTTTACGTTCCCCGAATCTGTTTTCCAGCAACAATTCATCGCCGAAATTCTACGGTGGCGAGCACAAGGCACCTCGGACCACATCCTCTTCACTCTACTGAACAGCAAAGGTGCCGTTGCCAAAGTCCTCTCCTGCTCGGAGCTCCACAAGAGGGCCGAGCGGATAGGCAACCTGCTCCTCGAAAAAGGCAAGATCAACACCGGCGACCACGTGGCCCTGATCTTCCCGCCCGGCCTCGACCTGATCTGCGCCTTCTACGGCTGTCTGTACGCAGGCGCGGTGCCGGTCACGATCCGGCCGCCCCACCCACAGAACCTGCAGACCACGCTGCCCACGGTGCGCATGATTGTTGACGTGTCGAAGTCGGTGCTGGTGCTGTCCATTCAGGCGGTGATCAAGTTGCTGAGGTCGAAGGAGGCTAGCAATGTGGTGGACATCAAGTCGTGGCCGATGATCTTGGATACCGACGATATGCCGAAGAAAAAGCTGCCGGTGCCTTACAGGTGAGTACTGAGTAGGCCGAGGATATTCAACTGCATAGGACGGCTCGATCCGTTGATTTTTCGGGCTGTGACGACGTCAAACGCAAGTCCATTGATCAGAACATGTATATCACTATATCACCCAACACATACATGAAATTCAGATGACGTTACTAAGTTGTCTTCTGGTAATCACATTGCAATATGGGGATTGAGCACCGACATAAATTACTAACTAGACCGCTAATGCCATAAGATCAAAGCTCATTCATTTACGAGATCGAACTTGGCTCAATGGAGCGTGTGCATTCAGGAGACATAATATCTACTCTTACTTATGTTTCCCGAACACCGAGAGACATAACTCAATGTCATGGATGACAGTTTGAGAATTCCTGTGCATTGAGCAAAAGCCTTGTCAGACGATCAATTTGGAAGAATTTTTGGGTTGCGGAAAGATATATACCGGTAAATATAGTAGTTTATGTCAGTGGGATTGCGCCATTCAATGCAGTTAGAGGTCATGTCAGCTGTCGATCTTTATTTCATCGCATCAAGGACATTTGTTGACGAATGTTCATTGATAATAATTATTATTTAACCCATGGGCTGAGACCACTTACCACTTCTCTATAACTTCGTGTGTGGCTTTCTTCTGACGAGTCTACCAACGTTTTTGTTTCCGAAAATTTTTGTTAAAAGGGTTTTTTTGTGCAGCTAGAGAGCGTCCTCCTACATTATATTTGACTTCTGAGTACTGTCGGTACACAAAGGGTTTTTTCCACCAATAGCTATAAAACCGACCATTATTCACTCCTTTTCGATGCGTAAAGTGTGTTTATTAACAATCATATATGTAATGTTGTCATTACTAACGTCATTGAAGGTCACGGGAAGCCTCGGAATATAATCTCAGATCTACTTCCTCTGATCTGCTCCGTGTTCGTTAATTGTCAGAGCGAGCTGAAAGATGTAATCTGTTTGTTCCGCCTTGAGGAGCAGATCATTTTGTCAGTTGTCAACAAATCAATGTCAACAATATGTTATTGAAATTATATATCTCTTTTGTATCGAAAAATTTAAGACTTGATCAACTGGAAACGAAACACGAAACTGAATTTTGTAGAATCCTCCTGGCACAGAATCGCCAGAATGACCGACGAATTTGCTGTAGGTAGCATTATATATCTGTAATATATGCGATCACAACTGCCCTGTTCCATAGTTAATGACCGATCATATGAGACAGAATCATTCCTTTCCTAGTAATTTTCAAAATATAAATCCAAGTAAACAAAAAACATTCAAAAGAACTTTGTTGCCCTGAGGTGTTTTTACGTTTTTAAAAGTAATAAGGTTAAGTGAATTGTTTCTGTTTTCTGTTACTTCTGACAGGTGGCGCTCGCAATCTACTACCCCGTTGAGCGTTCGTTAAATATCTTTAGCTCTATCAGCTAGGTGATCACGTGACACCAAATCTGCATCTGCTCGCTCGGCTCCGATTTTGTTAAACCTCTTGGTGTATAAATAACAATTACACACCGGAACTGATCTATCGCTACTTTCAGGGCGCCGACTGCCGAGATGCTCGCCTACCTGGACTTCAGCGTCTCCACGACGGGCATGCTAGCGGGCATCAAGATGTCCCATGCCGCCGTCACGAATCTGTGCAAGAGCATGAAGCTGGCCTGCGAGCTGTATCCCAGCAGGCACATAGCGTTGTGTCTGGATCCGTACTGTGGGCTGGGGTTCGCGTTATGGTGAGTGGAGTACGAAGTTACATTCGATTATCTGCTACAAGTAAATGTTATTCATATTGAGAATTTTCAATTCACACAGATAAATCATGTCTGAAATAACTGTAACATATTGGCAGACGGACTCTGGTCGATGGAAATTTGATAATTATATTATGTTGCTATTGTGGTTCATGTCACATTGACTATTTGGTATAGAAGGGCGAGAATTCAAGATAGTGTTGGTTGCATTCATCCATATGGTCTAACTTGACTAAGTACATAATAATAATAATAATAATAATAATAATAATAATAATAATAATAATAATAATATTAACTATATATAACAATATAATAATACTAATAATTATTGCTGATTGGGAGTAAAAGGCAATGTTCAGTTTAGGTGGGGATAACAAGTCACCACATAAACTACTGTTCTTCCACTTAACCTTGGATCATCTCTTTGCCTCATAATATCGAAAATCTATTTTTTGTTTTATAAAGCATGGAGATTTATTTATGAATGTGATGTCAATCCAGGAAAAATTAGAATCAGTTCGTTTAAATTTGGTGAGAAGATGGAAATTCATGAAGATAATCGCTATTAGATTTATTTTAAAATCTATCTTCTACACTGGAGCTGGAACAGATATTGCTTATAGCTCTTTTTAAATTTCAATAGACTTCCATATCTAATCACCTGAGGGATATGGTTATATATTTTACATATCTGATAGGAAAATGACCGTTTGGAATACTGTAATCTGAAAGTGGGTAGTGACAAAGTGCCTTTAAATCTGATATTCACATTGTGTACATCAGATTTCAATCATTCCAAAACTTGATATAGCATATCTCATTATGAAAGACCTGTCGAGCTCGTGACAACTGTCATTATCCTACTAGTCCAATCAAATGGTATTTTCACATGGAAAAAATTCAAGTTCTCGGTTTCTCTGTTGTTTCATATATTTTTTGGAGGTGCTGAATTCGAATTGGATTTTGCAAACGAAATTTCCTGGAGCGTTCCGAAATATTAGCAAAAAACAGCGAAATTTTCGGACTTTTTTCGGTTTTTTGCCCGTAAACCGGAAATCATACGTTATATAGAAAAGACCGCCCCATAGAAAGTTGATGTAAATATAATTGTAATCGTTCATGAATGTAGGACTAACGAGTGCGGGGATAGAGCCAGTTGAAAATCGACCAAATTTGCGTACTTTTAAAAAAATAGCGTTATTCGTCGGTTTTCGCAGATAATTCCAAATCTGCACATTCCTCGAAGAACTGCTTGATGTGGAAGAGTCCTAGCCATGTGAATTCTCACCTCTGTCAGCATGTAACTCATGACTCTCGACTTTGTACAGGGTATCCCACATAACTTGGGCCACCCCCTTATCTGGTAAACTATTATATATACAGAAAAAAGTTCAGAATAAAAATTGTATAACTTCTCATGAAATTTAATTTTTAGATACTGTCATTTATACAGGATGATCCATATGTCTGTGACATATCACAAATACGTTTTTTCAAATGGAACACCCTATATTTTATCATATTTTTAGATAGTCCTTCAGAAGACGAGTTCAATGATATATAATAACATGGGTCTGAGATCACCCGTTTCGGATTTATACACGATCTTCTTCAATAAATTGTCTAATTTCAAAGCCCCATAGAAACGTTGTGAATGAAGTTTTCGATTCGCAACTTTTGCTATAAATTAAAAAAGTCTGTATATTATCATGTTCTGTGGTGAAAATTTAGGAATTTTGAATTTGCCAAAAGTGATGACGTATTTTGAAAACCAATAATTATCTCGAGATTTTCAAATGGAATACCCTATATTTTATTCCATATTTGCATAGAACTCAGAAAGACGAGTTCAATGATCTATAATAACATGGGTCTGAGATCACCCGTTTCGGACTTATACACGATCTTCGGCCAAAACTACATTTCCTCTAGTTCTCTTATTCGGTTTGAGAATACCTTTTGTTCGGATATCGTTCTCTATTCTCTGAAATATTTTTTTTGTTTGGTACGACACTTTGTGGAAAACGGTCACGATATTCTCTCAAAGCCAGCACAGTATTTCTGTTTTTTAATAAATAGCACTCATAAAGATCAAATCTCTCTTCTTTAGAATAAATATGCATTTTGAAAGAGTTTTTCTGCACCAATTCAACAATAAATAATCGGGTTTGACAGTTATTGATATGACATAAACAAAAATCCCATCTATGAGTGCACAGCCTACTCAGCTCACGTTGGCATGTCATTCCACTTTGAGTTTTGGTTTTCTCTTCGATCATTTACTTATGTCCAGTGTTTATTCATTGAGAATTCAATGAAAAATGTTGAACAGTATGAACAATATACGATTTTTATGAGGAAATGACATTTATTGCAATGAATGCATCCGAATTTGTAAGGCAGACAATCAAAAAAAATGTTCAAATACATTTTATTAATTGAATATTCCCGCATTGGTCTCGTATAGAGTCAAATGTAGGTGAAATTTAATTGTAATAACCTGTGCTCAATCATTTCCAAAATGTTTTCTAGTGAAATAATAGTATAACATTACATAAAAATTTCGATAATATCCGTTTATTTCAAAACTCTTTATTACGAATTGTTTCACAGAAATTACAAAATTTTTATCTAATATGAAGATAACAGTCAGGATTTTGCCATTGAAATTTGATTATTTTTTCAAGAAGATCGTGTATAAGTCCGAAACGGGTGATCTCAGACCCATATTATAATACATCATTGAACTCGTCATTCTGAGCTTCATCCAAAGATGGAATGAAATAGGGTGGTGTTCAATTCGAAAATTTGTAAAAAATTATCGTTTTTCAAAATACATCATCACTTTTGGCCAATATGCGAAATTCATAAACTTTTACCATGGATCAAGAAAACATACAAAATTTGTTAATTTATAGCGGGAACTGCGAATCGAAAACTTCATTCACAACGTTTCTATAGGGCTTTGAAATTGGGCAATATATTGAAGAAGATCGTGTATAAGTCCGAAACGGGTGATATCAGACACATGTTATGATATATCATTGAACTCGTCTTCCTGAGCTCTATGCAAATTTGGAATGGAATATAGGGTGTTCCATTTGAAAATCTCGAGATATTTATTGGTTTTCAAAATACGTCATCACTTTTGGCAAATTGAAAATTCCTAAATTTTCACCATAGAACAGAATAATGTACAGACTTTGTTAATTTATAGCGGAAACTGCGAATCGAAAACTTCATTCGCAACGTTTCTATAGGGCTTCGAAATTTGGCAATTTATTGAAGAAGATCGTGTATAAATCCGAAACGGGTGATCTCAGACCCATGTTATTATATATCATTGAACTCGTCTTCTTATTAAGTACTATCTAAAAATATGATGAAATATAGGGTATTCTATTTGAAAAAACGTATGTGTGATAAGTCACAGACATATGGACCATCCTGTATAAATGAAAGTATCTAAAAAATAAATTTCATAAGAAGTAATACAACTTCTATTCTGAACTTTTTTCTGTATATATAATAGTTTACCAGATAAGGGGGTGGCCCATGTTATGTGGGATACCCTGTACTTAAGTATATTCACATCCTCTCGGAAGAATACTGTTTTTCTTACCTGCCTCTTGTTATTCGTTAACGGAGTAGAAAAATCAAGTTATCTAGACCTGTTCTAGGGTAGTCAGCCTTTGGCGGACTGGTACATTATACATAAACAAAGGTGCTCCACGGTTTAGTGTCAGTCTCATATGGACCCATTGTTTTATAGTAACTGCTCAGAGGGTAGTGCTTTAGCTCTTATTTGCTGAGACCAGCTGAGACTGAGACTCACTAGCTTACGAATTGTTGAAGAACTCTTTCCTTCTCGTTTACCTGGAGTTGCTCAAAAGTAGTAGGATTTTTCACTTCATTCTCATTTTCTGAGCTCTGTGATAAGGTGACATTTGCTTGTCTCAAAGAAAGGTAAAATGTGAGCTCTGCACTTTTTTGCTAGGCATACAGCTGCCTTATTCCCTTGACCCCTTGTTTTTCATCAAAATGTTCAAAGAATACCCAATAGTATTTGGAATTATTATATCGCAATTATAACAACTATAATTCAAGCGTACATAATTTCAATTTTTTTTTTGTCCCCCCACCCCACAGAATACATTAACATAATAATAACCTATTTATAGGTTTCAGAGCTTTAATGAATATAGGTTCATATAATCCAAATCCTATAAATTGAAAGGATGAACATGAGTAGTTGCCACACTACGACTAAAATAAGTCCCCAAGTCCGAGGGCTCTAACAGCCGTTTATCTTCTTTCATAATGACGAAATTCACATGAGCTCGATAGGCAATTCGATGCTCTTCCTCTTCCAATATGTTCATGATGCTCTGTCTCTGAGTAATACGTAAAATATGAATTATCTGCGAAAACCGACGAGAAACGCTATTTTTTGAAAAGTACCCAAATTTGGTCAATTTTCAACTGGCTCTATCTCCGCACCCTTCAGTCCTACATTCATGAGCAAGAACAATTCTATCTAGGAAATTGCATCTACTCAAACTTTTTATAGGGCGGTCTTTTCGATATTATGTATGATTTCGGGCAAAAAAACGAAAAAAGGAAATTTTGTTTACAAAATTCAGATTTGAATTCAGCACCTGCAATAACATATAATACCACAAAGAAACCGACTACTTGAATTTTTTTCCGGATTGGGTCCTAATCGTTACCGTTTTACTGAGCTATACACCAATCAGTTTTAATCATTTCGGGTTACAAAAAAATAAACACTGAGCTTGAAAATGCCCTCACCCTCATTGATAATGGTTCTTCGATAAGAGTTGCAGCTCAAACGTATAATACCGAGTATCTTGCAGTGTTCGATCGTTTTCCAGGTGCCTGAGCAGCATCTACTCCGGCCACCACTCCATCCTCATCCCCCCCTCCGAAGTGGAAGCCAACCCCGCCCTCTGGCTGACAGCCGTCGGGCAGTACAAGGTGCGCGACACGTTCTGCTCGTACGGTGTGATGGAGCTGTGCACGAAAGGTCTGGGCTCGTCCGTCAACCAGTTGCGCGCGCGCGGCGTGAGCCTGGCTTGTGTGCGCACCTGCGTCGTGGTGGCGGAGGAGCGGCCGCGGATCAGCCTGACGACGGGGTTCTCGAAACTGTTCGGGGCGCTCGGGTTGAGCCCGAGGGCGGTGTCGACGTCGTTCGGGTGCCGGGTGAATGTGGCCATTTGCTTGCAGGTGAGGCTCGGGAAGGTTTACACTCGATGATTATTGTTTCCTAGATACATTTTATCAATGATTATTCTTTTTGTATGATTTCCAACCAATCAGAAAGTTTGAATAAAGCAAGATACCGTGTATATTTTCGAATATACGTGGATATACATAGAGTAACTCTGATACCAATCAGGAGTTTAGAGATATAGTCGTGGAAATACACCAAGGCAAAATCTGTTTCTTTTTATTCATCGTAAGCTGAATGAGACAGAAAATCACTAGAAAAAGGAACGTCGGAACTTGATTCATATATTTTGATCATTGAATTGTCACTGTGACTTAATGTCAAACAATTAGAGTACTGGTTATACATCAATAATATTTCGAATTCCTTATATCATAATGGTGAAACGGTACAATGTTCAATCTGAAACATTGATTCCCAGTGTGATCGCGTATTTTGTAAAACACGATGATTTCTGCCAAGTTCAAAGAAAGAATGTTGTCAGCATTGCCGCGGAAGCTCTGAATATTTCAGAAAGAAGTATTTATCGGATCAAGAATTCGCAACAAACTCTGATGCTGTTTATGCAGGAACAGTTTCAAAAAGGCCGAAGAAATAAAGAAAAAGGTAGATCCCACAATTTTACAGGCTCTAAGAGTACATGTTACAATAAAATCGCTTCATGAGCGTTTCACTGAAGAATGGCCTGATTTTCCTTGTTCAACAAGATCCATGAATACCTGGATTCGCAAAATTGGATTCAAATTCAAGAGGAGCAACAATAGGCAGTTTCTTGTAGAACAACCACCAATTGCAGGTAAGCGTACGTCATTCCAAAAAAAAAATATCATCTAGATATTTACGCATCAGAACATGGTCACAATATTTTGAGATTACCACCTCAGACTCCACCCTTGCCAATATAATGCCATAGAAATGGTGTGGTCAGAGGCTAAAAGAATTTATGACGTCGAAATCATCAAAACTAAATCATCCCCGAGAGATGTGATAATGGTCTGGCGTTAGAAGCTGAGGGTGTGGAGCTTTGGAGAAATTATGTACGATATACAGAAAAAGTGATGTTTTCGGCATGGGAGACGGAGAAATACATAGGTGCTTCCAATATTGAACCTGTCGTGATAACTTTCAATTCAGATGAGAGCGATACGTCATCGGAGGAAGGGTCAATGCGTTCAAATGAAAATATTTGTTTTTGAAAAATGTTACTTCCTGAATAATTTATATTAAATTAAGTTGATGTTGACGAGGAATTATTATTCGAAATATAATTCATGTGAGTTATGCTACCCACTTACTTACTTTCTTACAGAAAGCCAAAGACAAAACATTTGTTCGAAAGAATTTCATGTTGATAATAGATACAGAGTGTTTTCCGAAACCTCTAGTTGATATGGAGAGTAATACATCTTCACATATTTTCTTTATAATTTTTTCCTCAAATACCTTTCAACATCTTATTTCACGAAGTGTCACTGACTATCAGCTGAAAAAATTCTTTCAGGTCTGAAAATAAATTTTTAAACACTTCGGGGCAAAGAAAAATCTCCACGCCCAGTCATCCACAGATACTTTTATATCTCTATAATTCTTATTCCAAAATCCGATAAGGTTGAAGTCATATTTTGGATTGCAGCTAATATTTTTAATTTTTATTATCGCTTAAGACGAACGAGAGAGAATCAATATTTTATGTTCGTAGAACATCGTTCATCCCTGGGGTGGAAAGGGAGAGAAGGTAGGTATTGAAATATCAAGAGTTATCCTTTGTTCATGGTGCAAAAGATCTCATATCCGAATTTCGTATTTTCAACATTTATTTTGGGTAGGTATAGAAAACATCTCGTCAGGTTTCCCGAACTGATTTTCCGCGACGATACTGTACAGTGTTCAACTATAGTTATTCGTATTTTTAGGTAAATAATTATATATTATGAATCTCTGAGAAAAAAAACATGGGAACTTGTAATGGTACGCACATACACTTCTATATCCGTTCTCGTGGACTTCGATGAACTGCCACATTCGTTACCATGATTATCATGATTGTCAAAATCTGGATTACTTAAGAAAACACTTGCGAATGGTAACCAGAAATTCTATAGGCATTTGTTTTGTGACTTGGTGTATTTCCACGACTTTACTTGTATTTCCATAGTAAACAATTCATATACAAATACAAATTGTCAACTGTCACAGCCAGCTATGCAAAAAATGTCTTGGGGAACCTTGTTATTACCATAGAAAAAAATGTTGAAATGTAACGTTCTTCTGAAACCCTTATAACTTTCACAAAAATGCAGTTATCCTAACAAATAAAAAAAGAAAACGTACGTAATAAACGTAGCTCGATGATTAAATGAAAAATTACAGGATGTATCAGCTTAGCCACTCCAGAGATTGTTTCAAAATTGAAATAAAAATTCACTTTTTTGTCACTCTGTATAATTTGAAGATATGCCTCATTTTTTGAAATCTCTGAAATGAGTAGTAGATATATGGTTACCAACAATGTTACTTGCAGGGCGCCTCCAGTCCCGAGCCGTCCAGCGTGTACGTGGACCTGCGCGCCTTGCGCAACGACCGCGTCAGCCTGGTGGAGCGCGGCAGCCCGCACAGCCTCTGTCTGACGGAGAGCGGCAAGCTGCTGCCCGGCGTCAAGGCGATCATCGCGCATCCCGAGTCGAAGGGCCAGTGCGGCGACTCGCACCTCGGCGAGATCTGGGTGCAGAGCGGCCATTCGGCCAGCGGGTACTTCACGATTTACGGGGACGAGAGCGAGTACGGGGACCATTTCAATGCTCGCTTGGTCACAGGTGAGATATATTACTCGCGTTTGTTTGTGATTCTCTGGTGTCGGAATGGGCGTGTACACCTTGATAGAACTTTTAACTCAAACCATGTTTATATTGATCCTTTTATACATAAATAATGATTGACGACATAATTCGATCAAAAAACTAACTGGAATGTTTTATTTTTGGACATAAATAATAGTACCTTCTGAAAACGGACCCTCTTATGACGTAGAAACCTTATCTCGCCATAGTTGAAAGAAAATACCAAACGCCCGACGGAGACTGAGGCAACTGATATATTAATTCTTTCAACTTGATCTCGCGCTAATTCACTCTGTCAGAAATCATGTATCATTAATTTCTGTCTGGAATATTCTTGTTTCAGTATTAGGGTTTTGACGTCACATCATCGCCTCGTTTTCAGAGGTGCGAAAAATCGGGGATTTCAATAATTTTTTATAAAACGTAGGGAGCTCACAGCAAGAAACGGTTTGCGGTGGTGAGCTAGTTTGGGTGAGTTCTATCGAATTATGAAATAAATTTTTTTTGTGATATAAGCCCATTGTGTAGGAACGAATAAAACGGCAAATAATGAAGAATGACATTGATGTGATGACAACCGTGTGAAAACAACATTCAATCAAAATGACATAATAATCATCAATAAAAAACATCAAAGTTTGGGTTAAATCAATTTTTGGATCTTTGGATTGGATTCTTGGATTGATGATACATATTGAATAATGCTCTTGGTATATATACGTGCGGCCTGTGGGGTAGGTACGTGGGCATTTCTAACTATCACTAATCAATAATCATTCCCTAGACATTGGTGTCATTCGATATTATAAAATGTTGATAGTATCTATATATTGATGGAGAATATTGTAGTGAATCATGCAGTGAGCACCATATTATGGAAATGGAAAGTGCATTGAAACTTATATATTTGTTACCTACCTAGCGACATTCTTCATGAAATTATGGATTGATAAGATGACAAAATTAAATCCAGGATGACGAATATTTCATACTGACTTTTTTTAGAATATGTAATGAAGAAGTTCAAAAAATTGAAAATGTTCATGACATTAGATCCAATACGAAGACCTTTCAGAGCCATTTCAGATTGCCTCCTGAATATTTCCATGTGTTATATGCATATTTTTCCTATTTTGTTGGCTCATCTTTTTATCAGTATGTACCTACCAATTCCTTATTCCGTATATTTACTATTTCTATTCTACAAAGTTTTTGATTAGGTACAACAATCATAATATCATAATGATGTATGTCAAATACCCTTATTTGTCAAACATTCCACCACGCATTCGATGTTCTGAGACCGAATGGCCAGTGCCACCAGAATGATGAAAAATTCCACAGAATGGGGAAGACCACTGATTTTTTAAAACGACATTATCGTGAACTCCATACTGAAAAACTACCAGTGAATTAATTTTGAATTTTTTCATCCATGCTAAGACGATGAAAAAAATAAATTAGTATATGTCCATTTCAAAACACACAATTCCTGCGCCATTTGAAATTTCATCAATTCATTGGTGTGACTGGTGCGACGTCTTAGTCCCAACACGCCTATTGTCCTTGAACTGACCAATTACACTGCAACACTGCAGAATGACGAGGTATCAGAGAGAGATAGCTACAGTTCGGGACTAATACGTCACGACTCCACCATCATATTTGGCTGTTTGAAATATCGAATGAAATATGCTGATTTCAAAACGATATAGATTCGATTCACTTCAACTTCAACTCATAATATTGATTGTACATAAAATGTAAATCATGATTCGTCGATTGAAAGAGGTTTGCCCGGATTTCTTCCCTCTGTGGTCTTCCCCATTGTCAATAAAACAGCGATTCTGTCCCTCTGATGGCAATAAAACGCAACTAATGATACTAATAATAGTAGGAGAACCGACTGAAAATTTAGACCATCTGATAACGAAATGTTATATTTTATGTTCCAAAGGCATGTACTCCATCGAACGGCACATGTGCCAATCACTGTCCTGAGCAAAATGATACCATAACTGTACCACTCCTTAATCTGAGTCAAATCCTCGACACAGAGATTATTGTTGAAAGAAAATGCAAATAAAAAGGGATCTTGTCCCCTTCACGAATATCCAAATGTGTCATGATTCAACGTGATCTAATAAGTTAGTGGCAGAGAATATTCGGCCCTTATTGAAAAATAGTATCCAATGAACCATCGCTTGGAAAATCTTGTTCTGGTTCTGGCGAAAAAGGAATACATATGATATATTATACCGAGGATGTAAAATTCAAATATTTTGAACCTGCTGCATTATCCAGGCACTGCTCAAAATGATCATTTATGGAATAGGGTTTGCAGCGAAACTCTTTTAAATCTCAGGGTTTTTTGGTTAGGGTTCACACTGTATATATTTGCGGCAAAGAAACGAGCCGAGTCAGACAAACCAGTTTTATTTTTCCCAAACTTGCTAGGTATCTGCAGAGATTATACACTCCCCATAATCTCTGATATCTGCAAACTGACAAATAAAACTTTAAATTTTGCCTCGTGACTGATTCACAATTAAATGAAAGAAAAATAGGAACTTAGCGGAGGCCAGTACCTACTTGATGGGATTGTACACTCTAATCGAATTCACGCCACATACCTATTTTATATTGATCAGTCCGTGTGTGAATAGTATTTGATGCTAGCAGTCGTTATTTAAGTCATCTAAAATACGTTTTTTCATTAATTGAAAATCAGAACCTTCGAAAAACGCCAGGTTTCGTGACGTCATCAGCCTGCAGGCACAGAGAATAGCAATCGTTGCCAAATTTATAACCAGTAATTACCTTATGAGATTCAATATCACCAATGACAGAGTATTTACGTTCGCAAAAGACAATGTGGCCACCTGGTTCCTGATAATCATTTAATGAAAACTTATGTATACCTCGCAAGATGATGATTCAGTGTCAGTAATCTAATATATAAAATTCTCCTGTCCCGGTCACGGTGTTAGTGGTCGAACTCCTCCGAAACGGCTCGACCGATTCGTATGAAATTTTTTGTGCGTATTCGGTAGGTATGAGAATCGGTCGTAATCTATTTTTGAAATCGAAAATTCAAGATGGCGGATCCAATATGGCGGACGAGTTTTGTTATCCGATTTCATTGAAAATTGGTATTTGGGTGGTTTCGGGGTCGGAGAGTATGATTCTTTCGTCAAATTTTGGAAATTCAAGATGGCGGATCCAATATGGCGGACGAGTTTCAAATCATGATCAGATTCCATTCAAAATTGGTATCTGGGGGTTTTCTGAGTCGGAGATAATGATTCTTTCATCAAAATTTGGAAATCCAAGATGGCAGATCCAATATGGCGGACGAGTTTTGTAACTATCATCCTATTCCATTCAGAATTTGTATCTGGGGGATTTTGGGGTCGAAGACTATGATTCTCTCATCAAAATTAGGAAAAATATGGAGGAGTCAATATGGCGGACGAGTTTTGTAATTATGATCTGATTCAATTCAAAATTTGTATCTGGGGGTTTTCGAGGTCAGAGATTATGATATATTCTTGAAAATTTGGACATTCAAGATGGCGGATCCTATATCGCCAAAGAGCTCTGTAATAAATAGTAGTTATAGAAAAACTATAATGAAACAAGCTTTTATGGATCGTCAAACTCGAGGCCAAACTGAATAGAAGTAAAAAATTGATAGTATAATTTAAAAAACTAGATAGATTGTCGAACTTGAAAGAAGTAGAAAATGAAAATAGTAGTTTGAAATACTGATGAAACACGAATTTATAGATAGCCAAACTAAAAAGAAGTAGAAAAAAAATGTGTTGATTTAACTAAAAAATATTTTCTAGAAATAAATGTATGTAGCAAAACAACGTTTGCCGGGTATCAGCTATTGTAACAAATAGTAGTTTGAAAAACTGATGAAACACGTTTTTATAGAAAGCCAAACTAAAAGAAGTTAGTATGGAAATGAAGAGTGGTTTAAAAAAATGAAGAGATATGGAATGCCGAACTAAAAAGAAGTAGAAAATAAATGGAATAGTTTGAAAAGCTAAAGAATCCTGCATTTATGGGTAGCCAAACTAAAAAGAAGTAGAAATAAACTAATGAAAGATTTTTGATAAATATTTATCTGGAACAATTCTTTCTAGAAATAATGTTTATGGGAAAACAACGTTTGCTGGGTCAGCTAGTTTATTTATATTTTCTTGTGTCCCTCCATAAGCATGTACGTTTTATGGAATCAATAAAAGTCATCATCGTTTTCCAGGCAACACAGGGGAGGTGTACGCGCGCACCGGCTACTTGGGCTTCCTGCGCCGCACCGAGATGTGCGACAAACAACAGTCCTGCGCCGTGGACGAGACGGCGTCGAGCCGCGACAGCGACACCGAGTCGCTCGGCTCCTCCCACCACTTGGCGCCGACCGCGGTCGATGCGGCCGAGCTGCACGACGCTGTGTTCGTGGTGGGGGCGCTCGACGAGACGGTCGTGCTGCGCGGCATGAGGTATCATCCCATCGATATCGAGAACAGCGTGTTGAGGTGCCATAAGAAGATTGCTGAATGGTGAGTAGCAGAATAGTATATTATGTAACAAGTGTTATAAACGTCCTTTTAGTAACGAGTATTTTAAGCACGAGCGGAGCGAGTGTTTAACACATTGATTGCCACGTCATACATATCTGAATGACAGCTCCACTTCCGTTCAGGCCGCGTCATACATACATGTATGACGACCAATTCATGTTGTGAGGCCGCGTCATTCGAAAATGCATGAAAGCAAATGTAATTCAGATAGGGATAAGAATGCGTGGCCCCCAAGGAACTCACAGGAATGTTTGGACAGAGCAAATTTTGATAGATCATGATACAATTGAATGAAACACAAATATCAAATATGTACTGTTTTATTCATTGTGAAAACAAAATGAAATTTGCAAAAAATGTTGAATAAAAACGTAATACCACATGAATGAAATATTGGGATGTCATATACAAGTAAAAATGAAATGAAAACAAGTTATTCTAGATATTTGTTTCGGAATGCCTTTGTTTAACATTATTATTGTTAAATGTGTCCGCGCACCTGTTGCACTAAAACGACCTCTGACTTAATATTTAGGTCGAAAATCATCGGCAGATTCATGTGGGTCAGAGGTCATTTTAGTGCAACAGGTGCGAGGACACATTTAACAATAATAATGTTAAACAAAGGCATTCCGAAACATCATTGATATTCCGATATAGATGAGAAATTTCAATGCTTCTCATTGAAATAATGTATGCAAATCTGCTTTCTTCATATTCACAAATCTGTTAGGAATGGAATGAGTGTCACCGTCATACATGACGTGGCCCTGCGTAGTGAATGACATCAAAAAACTTCAAAAATTGGTGGAAATAGTAAGATAATGACTTTTTTGGGTGAAACCTGATTTTTAAATGTGAAAATTTATGAATGAAGCGAAACTGGAACGATTGACCCCGTAGAAAAACCATTATACTCTAATGAGAATAAATTACCAAATTTAGACTGAATATCAATATTTTGTAAAATCCTATTGATGCAAAATTTCAATATATGGATGTACAAATTGAGTGAAAACAATAAACAATAATAATTAATAAGATATATATAGAGGCGTGCGCTGGTTTTCCATATATTGGTAAGGCCATTGTCGATCTAAATGAGATCGCCTACTAACTACCTTTTCCATCCAGATCGACAATGGTAAGGCGAAAAACGACAAGGTATTATCACAAGGGAATTTATAAAAACCGCCACGGAGACGAAACCAAACTGAGTGTGAGGTCAGAATATGTCCTCTCTCCCGCAAGGAACCGAGGTCATCTTCAATACTCGCCATTGAGTAAAACAACCTTAGTCCTATTGACGAGATAGGGTAGAAAAAAGTCAGAGAAATGCCCCTTATTCCATTTTTCAAGTTCAACCAGTAAGATGCAATGGTCAATTACATCGAAAGCTCTCGAAAAGTCTATAAAAAGTCCACTAATGTGGTCAACTTTCTCCAACCAATGTATCAAAGACCTAGTAGAGTTGGTATTCTCCTCATTCTCACCTAGTACAAATTCCGCGATATATCACTGACCATAACACGAATGTCCTCTTCTATTTCCAGTGCCGTATTTACCTGGACCAATTTACTCGTGGTAGTCGTCGAGCTGGACGGCAACGAGAGCGAAGCCCTCGACCTGGTGCCGCTGGTCACGAACACGGTGCTGGAGGAGCACCACCTGATCGTAGGGGTAGTCGTTGTGGTTGATCCCGGGGTGGTGCCGATCAACTCGCGGGGGGAGAAGCAGCGTATGCACCTTCGAGACGGCTTCCTGGCCGACCAGCTCGATCCGATTTACGTCGCTTATAACATGTAAAGTTGTAGAATTTTCGGAATTGTACAGCGTCATTCATGATGAGGTTCTGTTCGAAGGGTGAGTTTGATGATTGTGGGTTTAGGTTTTCAGGTGTAAACGTCCCAACCGAGATATATCGGCGGAAACCCAGACCGACTTCCTTAGTTCAAATAGAATACCCTGTACTTTATTCCAGTTTCGAATGTTTCTTCTATCCAGGTCTTTCACTTTAGAATCAGAATCGCTCGTTTGACGGTATCTCCTGTATTTCAAATGAAAGTGATCTTTTTTGTTTACGAAGAATTATATCGGTCTTGCTCACACACGTGCCAATCAACCTCGTTTCTCAGCCCATTTTCTTCACCTTCCAAAGTCATCCAAACATCAATTATGATGAGAAATCAATCTCTACGACACGGATTCCTTTATTACCATAAAATAGTCATAGGAACACAACCTGTGACACTATTTTTCGTGAAATTATCGGGGGAGAAACGGCGCATGCAACTGCGGGACGGCTTTTTGATCGACTAGCTCGGTCCGATTTATGGCGCTTATAACATGTTAAGTTGTAGAATTTTCGGAATTGTACAGCGTCATTCATGATGAGGTTCTGTTCGAACGGTGACTTTGATGATTTGTGAATCCAGGTTTTCAGGTGTGAACGTCTCAACCAAAATATTACGCTTTCGTTATATCTGCAGAGGACCGAACCCCTTAGTTCAAATAGAATACCCTACACTTTATCCCAGTTTCGAATGTTTCTTCTATCAAGGTTTTCTCAGAATCGCTCGTTTGACGGTAGTCTCATTGTCGGAATCCCCATACCCCCAAGACTACTCAATACAAGCACGATTTGTTCAAAGTATTGTCATTTCTTGAATTTCGATTTGTCCATTCAGGTTTCTCCTTCCTCATACATTTTTGTCTAGTCGGAACACAAAGCTCTCGTGACTTATCAGTAGGTTATAGAATTAAAAATGGAATGAAATATATGGTATTTTAATTCGAAATAAGGAAGAACATCTACCTCCGGTATAACAGATGTCGGTAGGATTCTAAATGAAATTTTCAAGCTCAGAAACCCATATCCACGGATTATCGAACTCATGTTTTCTTGGTTTTCTATATAGATACTTCTGATGGAAACTAGTGGTGAATGGTCCTGAGGATTTTATTTCAATTTGGTATGCGCGCATATCTGCCATGAATTCGTGATTTTGAAGTATTTTTGGGTAGTCGTTTCTCTTCCTTTGATGATATAAGAGACCGGCAGATTTTGTGATGAAACATTTGTAATTGTTATTTCTCAAAAAGTGTCTGCATCTCTCTAAATTCATAATGAATCGTCCAAACCTTGGTTAGGCTGTATGTGCCTACCATTATTTCTCGAAAAACCATCTGTTATTGGTAGGAATTTAAATTTGACAAGGTATTGAATTGAAAATTAGTTTCTTATTCTGAAAACAATTTTTTTTTTACACTTTTTACCATATAAGTATCTCATAATTATAATAATATATTAAAAAGAAGTGTAGGTACCTGTACATACATGATATATTTTTGTGTGTCGTAAAACCCGCAATATACTGTACAGTTGTATTAAAAAATCGTTAGAGAGGAATTAACGTCATCCTATTTGCGTAAAACAGGCTATCGGGATTGATTGTTTACCAAATGTTGACAGTTGTTGTCAAAAATACAATTCATTGGCTGAGCCAGTTTTACACAACTAGAACGACGTTGACCTCTTTTTTAATACTTGTACGCTTTTTTATTGAATTCTAGCTGTCTGGCCCGGCTTCGCACGGTTGGTGTACCCATATAAAAAATTAAGACATTTGTTGCAGTCATTCTGAGCAATGCGCGTATCTACAGTACATATTTTTTGTTATTTTTCCCAAATTTTTTATCCTTACCTATAGCTACTATTATATACTTACACCTATTTTCATTCTCTTATCTTTCGTATTTTTGTTGTTGACGTACCGACAGCAACGCCACCTACCGCGTCCAATTGTATTTTTAAATCATCCAGGAAACTATCGAAATACTCATATTAATTCGTTTCCACTGAGTGGAATTCATTATAGTTAACCCTTTATTATTATTTTTTTATATGTATTTATGTATCCCTATCATAAACAGAAATGTTTCTTGGGGTAATAAAGACAATCAATCAATCAATATAAAATTTCAACCCAATCGGTTCTCCCGTTTAGGAATTATGTGAAAAAGATAAGTACGGAAGGATAATTCTCCCTACCCGAATAAAAAGTAGCCTGTTCATCAGGGTTAATGTCGACTTCTAATAGTAAAAGGATTGTTCAAATCGGTCCAGTAATTTTGGAGCCTATTCAATACAAACAAACATTTCCTCTTTATATTAGTTGAATACAACTTTACAGTCAGATACAAAAAAAAACATGCGGCGGTTGGAAGGTATTAGCGCTTCTATTTTATTTGCATCTGACGGTAAAATTTTTAACAAAATTCAGTCATAACCACACAACTTTTATTGTTCTTGTTCTGTTTTGTTTTTTATAGGCAATAATAATGATGGTAAGATGATAAACTACAACCAATAACCCACTAACTGGAAAATAATTGAAGGAAAAGATTGGAAACTATTTTTGGATTTTTGGATTTAGAGAGACACAGAATAAAATTGTTCCCATTTGCATCGAAAAATCTGCCGGTGAATCTGGCTCAATAATTTAATTCAAACATCTGTGATTGTATCAAGATGATATAAATACGACTTGATGACTCACAGATGGAAAAAATGGCCTAATAGGCTTAAATGTATAGTTTTCATGTTTAGATTGTACAGTATGAATTAGTTACTTTCCTTCATGAATTAGTGCAATCAGTACTGCCTGGCCCATTTTCTTTTAGTTTATGATGGAATGAAAATGAAAAGGGAAAGAGAAAGACGGATTCGTACCAAAACGCAAAATATAATAATCATCATAGCATCACAACCAATACAAAGTCAAAAGAAAGTTGTTTCATGTTGTAAGCTTGAACATCTGTGGAGTTTTCTAGGAAATCTAATTATTTTCAAAAAGTATGCTAGAGAGATTTCAATTCATTCATTATCAAGAACTAGAGCGTTCTGTATAAGTACAGTATTTCGAGCAGTTTTAATTTTTATCCTCAATCGAAGGAAGTAGCAAATTGTGTTACAAAATAGTTGAAATAGCCATTTCTAAATACTGTGACGAAGGCTTATAATTGTTTATTTTTCATCAGCTTTCGTTTTGTATCAGTGAAGTCGAAAAAAGTTTGATATTTTTTAAAAATTTAGATTTTCAAAATCTGAGTGACCAGAAGCTTCAGAATATTCTTGAAATGATATTAAATGGAAGTGTGTAAACAAATTCTATTTCTGTTCTCATCAAGAACAAGGTTAGAAGTAATAATCTGAATAATAAACATGCTCAGATTATCTATCCAGATTACTTATTGATAGTTATGGAGATGACTTAGTATGTTTTTGTTCCTGAATATCAATAAAACTTAGCATTGCTAGAAGTTTTCAGGTTAGCGTTTTTTTTTTTATTTATCTAAAAAGTCAAAATGTTTCCTACTGCTATTAGGAATGCCATCAGTCCATCATGAGATATTGATCAGGGTCTTCAACAATGTTCGAGAACCACGTGATAGATCATGCAACAAATAATGCATTCATCTTTTCAACATGGGTAAAAAAAAAAATACGCTCCATCAGAAACGGTCACGTCCCACTTGATCATTTTTGAAGACACGTTATAAACAGCATTCATACAGAAATGAACAACAACTTTTTTTTAAGTTTAACTTTATCCATTTAATAAGAGATTATTGAAGAAACATAATAGGTACATCTTTTCTTTTTCATTCCATAATTTATCACTTCTTCACCTTCACCTAGGAATGAGTTGACAGTTGATACTCTACCAGTTTTAGTGAAAATGAAGCGACACAACTATCACATTGAGGTTTGCAGAGGTACTCCTTTTAGTATAAATTATGTTTGGTGTAAAGGTTGGGTCTGGAAAGTTGAGGTCAGAGACCGTTCAGAGTATGCGGATCCCGTCCATTGGCTATTCAGACTTGTAGCTTATCACTTGTATCCCTCTAGTCTCATTTTTGGCTGCTATTTGATTCTTTTTGATAATTGAATACATTTATGCCCTTTTATAGATAATACAATATTATTCCTTATTTTTATATTACTTTTTTCTTTGGACAAGTTTATGGGCTTTCGAAATGCTCAACTAGTATTTATACAAAAAAAAAACTTTATATATGTATACTGATTCCATTTTGCACAGAATTCTGTTAAACAGATTGTGACAATAGTTAATTTTCTTTGTAAATATTTTAACGTAGTTTTAGTATTTTAACCTAAGCAACTCCATGTTATTTTATTTCTTATATAGTGATGTAAAATGAATAAATTATATCTACGTACATTGTGGACACAGTTGCAAATAATGATTAAACGTATCTTTATATTTTCTGTTTTAATTCCACACTGACCACACATTGTCGTTCCAAATGACAACCTATAGTTGGGTTGTTAGTAGGCGAGAGCTATAATACCTCCTCGCGTACTAGGTTGCCTACTATATTTCCTTTTAGATCGACAATAACCACACTGACGAAATTCCAAAAAAAAATGACTCCAGGCACTTTCATGAAAATTCTAAGTACACAATGCAAAAACGTGTGGCGTATGGCATAAATTGAATATTCCACATCAAATTGTTTCGGAACAAACGTGATTCTGATCGTGTGTGTTGAAATGAATAATTTTGAAACTGCTGCCGACTGTCGACTGATAAGAAACTCCATATGAGTACTTGTCCGCATACTCGCCGCTGTTGCTATGGTTACGCCCAATATGTTATCAAGATATTATCGCCTTTAACGTTTGAAGAATATCCTATTCCCTATGTTGAAAGCAAGGGTTGAATGTACAAAATGGTAAGATTTGGCAGTAAGGCATACTGAGGCCGTTAATTTGTGTTTGCTCTACCTGCTAAACTTGATTTTTTTCTAAGAATGTCTCTGTTCACATTATACCATGAACAGAGACAACTATGGGAACAAAATCAACTTTAGCAAGTTCAGCAACACAGACGAACAGGCCTTCATTTAACAAGCAAAATACTCGAAATTGCCGTGACCCAGAATATTTCGTTTGTTGTCTAAATGTCTGCAATCTACAAGTAACCTATTTTGTGTAATCCTACCTACCTATCTATCCCACTTAATGCTTGATAGCCCAAGAGCCATTGAAAAAAAAATGATTGAATAAAAACTAATTTTCAATGTGGTGGTTATTTACATACAGAATTATCAAAATTAATATCACCACTCCTTCAAATTGTATCGATTATTTGTTGGTTTTGACTCAAATGAAAAAGTTTGAGTGATAAAAATACAAAATGCCATACCTTTTAGAGGAGGGAACCATAAAAAAAATATATTCAAAAGAACTTCAAAAAATTAAAGCCAATGACCTCGACTATGTCTAAAAAAATTGTTTGAGATGAGAATACATACATGAAGACATGAAAGGTCTTCCCCTCCCTTAGCTTTTGAAAAGAACAAGCTTTCGAGGTCAAGTTGCAAACAAGTGAAAAGGTGCCCTTTTTACTACTTTTTGGCATAAATATTATTGTGATCACGTGGCCTAGTGACAAGAGGGCACCATTATCTATTTTTTTATGAAAATGAAGGTCATGCTGCACCTGGTATTGATGCCCCATAGATCCAACACTAATTCGTTTTTGCAAATGGACAAGCCGTTTTAAACTGACAATTTACTGGCGAACGAAAAAAAAAATACTCGAGTCCAAAATATGGATTTCTACCATGGGGATCGTTTACATTTTTTTCTGACGTTACTCAAAGAAATAGGAAAACGAAAGACACTTTCTCATTGCCACTTCTGTAGCTCTACAAAACAGCATTGAGAGATTTTCCGTACGAGGTTTCGTTTTGAAGAAACCATCATCAACTTTATCCCATGATAGACATCCTTATCTTGGACACGATATATAATTCAACCTTTCTAGTATGCTATTTTCTGCAGAAGAAATATACAGGGTGATTCAGGTTTGAAAGTACAAACTGAAATGGGTGATAGATCTCATTATTTTAATCAAAATAGTTTATATAAATATGGGTCCTATCTTGATCAATAGCAAAGCTACAAGGGGTCAACATTTCCCGGTCACTTCTAGAAATATATCAATTTGAAATTGATTGTGGTCAATATATTCGAGAATATCATCATTTGAAGCATTTTACATATTTTCAAAATCTACAGGGTGATACATTTTTGGGGGCAAAGGCTTCTTTTAAGATTACTCTCTTTATCCAACCCAAACTATTTCATAGTACGCCTTTGACATCTTCCAGTTACCAAATAGGGTGGATCGTTCAATTTAAAGGCTTTTTTCTGAAAAGGAACTGTTTTCATAAATAAGCATTCAATAACATGTTAATTTTGCCATATTTTGCCCATGTTTAGCATGCATTTTATTCTTGGGCAAAATTCGTTAAGAATGCAATGAAATGTACTAAAATTGCAATGTTTTTAAAAATATGTCCAATCTGGATCAGTAGCAAGGATACAGAGGGTAGAAAGTCAGGTTGCTTTCAATCGTCGACCAATACAAGGACGCGGGAAATTCGTATTAAACCACTGTTTAAGCCCCATAAGTACAATATCTAATAATTGTTTTCTTATTTCCTTTATTGAACCACGGAAAATCACATTTTCATAGAGGTTCTTACTCTAAAAAAAACATGTCATGTAAAAAAACAAGAATAGCTGAAAATATATACAGAGTACATTTTGTCAGGTACATTGGTTAGTGTAGTGTGTGTGTAGTGTAGAAAATAGCCTAATTATATCACATAATTTGTCACTACTTATCATTATTTTGCGTTTTCACGAAAGTTCATAAAAAGATTACAAATGTTGCCAGATCAATTCAAAGCTTAACCAAGCATTAAGTCTATTTACTCATAACGTATTTTTTCAGTTTTTTATTGAATAATTTGCTGTTACATTCTTTGATCTCAACAGGCAGTTGAATATATATTTGAACACCTTTAAAGCAAATGGATTTTTTATAGGCTTCCATAGATGCATTGGGTAAGAATAACTTCTTGCTATTACGTGTATTGTATGAATATAAACCATCACATGCCGTAAATGACAGATTAGAGAATTTTTGTCTGTTAATGGTTTGATGAATGTTTTTGGATATTTGGATTTCATACATATTTATCTAAACTCAAAATATTGAAGTTTTTATAAAGATTAACTGTACTATATCTATAGGGCAGTGAGTATATATTTTTTATGGCTTGATTATGGAGTGTCTCCACTTCTTTAACCAATTCATTACAGGCTGAAAATCAAATCATTACCAGATATTGGAGGTGGCAATGTATCGGGGAGTACCTATTACACTGGAATCTTGGAACATACTTCTATCTATCTTTTTCAATATCATTTAAGGAATTGAAAAAGAATATATAGCATTCAACAGGTCGAGAAAAATGTATTGTTGTGTGCATAAACAAGTCGTACAAGGTTTGTATGGTGTCAACCTGCCTATTATGTTCCAGATTTCATTAAAAAGTAGTAGGTACATGTGCACAATTGCGTGTTACTGACAAAATTAGTTTGAATTTTGACACTACTTGTCAAAGTCAATAAGAAGCTTAATCAGCATTGACAAGCCTGACTCACAATAGCCTATATTGGTATTATTATTGATATTGGTAGGTTGGATGGTGACAGATGCGCTACGACCTAATTAGATGTATTGTGCCCCATCTGCTTCTGCTATATCAAGGATTTCTTGTTCATAGCAGCCCCTCGAGATTCAATTCTTTCTGGAATTTGAGGATTTTTAGGGGGTCTAGTTGTATTTCTTCCACAGTCAGTCATATGTTCAATCTAATCACCTAATTAGATCTATTGTGCCCCATCTGCTTCTGCTATATCAAGGATTTCTTGTTCATAGCAGCCCCTCGAGATTCAATTCCTTCTGGAATTTGAGGATTTTGAGGGGGTCTAGTTGTATTTCTTCCACAGTCAGTCATATGTTCAATCTTTTGTGATGTACAGCGTCACACTCCATCAGTATGTGATGGGATGTTTCTGGTTCTTCCTCACAGAATCTGCAGGTGTCGTCCTCCTGCAAGCCTAGCTTCCTTAGGTGTTCTTTGAGTCTGCAATGCCCCGTTAGAAATCCCGTTATTGCTTTGAGACTTCCTTTGCTGAGGTTTGTCAGTGTGTTAGATCTTTCTCGGTTGAAATTTCCAAGGAGATCTTCAGCCTGCGGTAGTCCTGGAAGTCTTCTCCAATGTCTGGCTCTCAAGGCTCCTTCCGCCTTTTCAAGTTCTCCTTGGGAATAGGAATTTCCAAGGCCGTAGAATGGCTCTGGTCCGATCAGTGGCGTTGAAGGCCCTTGTCGTGCCAGAGTGTCTGCTTGTTCATTCCCCTCCACTCCAATATGCCCTGGCACCCAGAGGAGGATCACTTTATTGTTGCTGCCTAGCTCATTCAATTTGCTTAGGCATTCCCATACCATCTTTGAGTTGATGTTAGGAGAGCTCAACGCTTTGATGGCTGCTTGACTATCGGATAAAATCGCGATGTCCTTCTTCCGGTATTTCCTGTCTAGGTTGAACTGGATGCATCTTTCTATGGCGTGTATTTCCGCTTGAAAAATGCTGGGGAATTATCCCATGGATTCGGTGTATTTGGTGCGAGGCCCAAAGACTCCTGCTCCAGTTTCCTCGGGTGTTTTAGACCCGTCCGTATACCAAGTAATGGTGTTTCTTCCCAGCGCTTCTGGATTCTATGCTCCATTGGCGCTTGTTACTCAGCTCCACTCGGAAGTTCTTCTCAAAACTGAACTTCCTAATGATTTGGTCCGTTGGAAGATCGGCGAGCTGTGCAATCTTAGTGGGGGGTGAGCCCCTTGAACTGTACGTTTTGCCTCTTAGTCCCACCTTGGCTAACCTGAGATGTGCTCCATAGGCAGTTCTCCTCACCACGATGTGTAGAGGTGTGAAATCCAAAATGACCTCTAGTGCTGCTGTTGGAGCTAATCTCATTACTCCTGTTATGCAAAGACATGCCAATCTCTGCACCTTCTCTAATATTTTCCTTGTAGTGGCGAGTTCGGTTCTGCCGTGCCACACTACTGCTCCGTAGGTGATCATTGGTCTCACTAGCATGGTGTACATCCATCGCAGTATTGATGGGTTACACCCCCACGTTTTGCCTCCAAGATTCCTGAACACCATCAGTGATGATTTTGCCTTACTGGTGATCTTTTCTACGTGTCTGTTCCAGAGAAGCTTTGAGTCTAGGATGAGCCCTAGATACTTCACTTCTTGCTGCCATTCTAGGTCTGCTCCGTCTAGACGGACGACTCTTAAGTGCTGAACCTTCGTTTTTCTAGTAAAAGGTACCAATGTGGTTTTCGTTGAGTTATTTCTCAACCCCACCGAATGGCACCATCTTCTGGTAGTCTCTAGCTCTCTTTCTATGAGGTCGCAGATGGTCCCTTCAAATTTGCCTTTGGCCATGATGACTATGTCGTCCGCATATCCAAAGCAAGTTACTCCGTTCTCAGTAAAAATCCCGAGTAGTTCGTCTACTACTAGACTCCACATCAAGGGTGACAGTATCCCTCCTTGTTCTCTCGCCCACTTTCGTTCAAGCTGTTCTTGTGGTCAGCATTTGACATATCCATCTGGATGTGATTCTGTCCACTCCCTTGTTCATTAGGGCTCTCTTTATTGCTTTATGAGAGGTGTTGTCAAATGCCACCTCTATGTCTAGAAATGCGCATATGGCGATTTCTTTGTGCTCAAGTGATCTCTGGATGTTTTCGGTGAGCACGAAAAGGGCGGTCTCGGTTGATCTGCCCGCCCTATATGCATGCTGTCCTGGGTGCGAAGGCACCCTCTCCAGTATCTCACATCTGATGCAGTTATCTACGATCTTCTCCAGTGTCTTCAGTGAGAAGGATGTGAGACAGATCGGTCTAAATGACTTCGGAAGGGTAGGGTCCTTCTTCCCTACTTTGGGAATGAAAGCCACACGCCCTCTCGTCCAGCTGCTTGGTATGTACCCGGACGCCAGACTGAGTTTGGCTGCCTTGATAATGATAGCCTGCAACTGCTGTTTGACTTGTTTATGCACACAACAAGGGACATAAGGTAATAAATAATTAAGCCACATGTGAATTATGGTAAATTACCACCATACATCTAGTGAATGTGGCCTTATCAGTCCACAATACATGTACTTTGTACTATTAGTCATTCAAATTCGATAGAAAAAAATAGATGAAATTCACATGTTTTAGAATGAATATGCTTCTTTATCTCGAAAGCGGTTCATTTCTCATAAAAAATGAAAGGCAAAAAAGCCTCCAAATTGAACAATCCATCCTATTTGAAAACTGGGAGATGTCAGAGGCGTACTGCAAAAAATTTGGGGAAGAGAGGAGGATAAAGAAGCCTCTACCCCCAAAAAAGTATCACCCTGTAGATTCTTAAAACCTTCAAGATGCTTGAAATTATGATTCTCTAGAAAGTATTAACTACACCAAATTTCAAATTGATATCTTCAAAAGTGAGCGAGATATTTCAATTAATAGAAAAAAAAAATTAAAATTTGACACTCTGTAGCTCTGCTACTGATCCAGATCGACCTCATGTTCATATGAACTTTTTCAATTAAAATGATGAATGAGATCTATCACCCATTTCAGTTTGTACCTTGAAACCTGAATCATGTATATTTTCAAGTCATTTGATATTGAAATAAAGAAATATATTTCAGTAAATGATGATTATTTCCACTTTGGAATTTATTTTAATTTTACTAATTTACAGAAAAGTCTTGCCTAATGAACACAGTATAAATATCTCACTTAATATCTATAGACAATCACACTTTTACTTGAAAAAACAAGAGGTGGTATTTACAAAATTTACATTAAAAAATTGTCAAGACCAGCTTATATTATGTGTGGGTCTTGGTCGTAGAATTAGCTTACCAGTGTCATCACAAGACATATTGAAATCTCCTAAAACCTCTCTCGTTCTTGATGTTATGATGGATGCAGCAATCACCCTTTTATGTACTCCAAGGAGCAATATTGTAACTAGAAATTGAAAAAACTAAATATAAAACCAGTGTTTTTTTTTAATTATTATTTGTAAATTACTATCACAAAAGTGCGCTGAAGATAAATAATAGTTCATGACATGACAAACTTTAACATGAAAAAAATAAGTTCTTCATTTCTCAAAATTTTTGAGTATTTTCTTCTTCTTAATGAATAAAAATATTATCTCAATAAACATGTAGTAAGGACAAATTGCCCCAAAATGACACTTTGTTTAAAATTCCACTTGTAGAAACTTGAAGGAGAAATTAGTTGATAGATGCCATGGAATATCTTTATCATTATTATTAATTACTAACTAGACAGCAAATGCTTCAAGATCAGAGCTCATTCATTTATGACTTTACTAGAGTCAGATGGTATTAGTTAGAGTTCCTAAATGTACTTGACACTGCTGTTTTGACGTTTTTTGTATATCAGAGTACGGACACTAGACAAGCAGTGACAATCAAACATAACCACAAACGATTTTGAAGTTAGGATAAATAATAACGGCTCTCCAAGACATATAGAAGTAGGTATAAATGGACTTCAGCGCTCGACTCACTATAGATCGCCGTTCACATTGTTAAAGGGGATTGTTGGTTTGAACCCGGCCATCGGTAGATCAATTTCAATACCTAACATAAATGGTGCACTCGTTAAGCGTTTTTGTTCTGTGCTCTGATAATATCTTGCTCGTATCTTAGTACCCAAGAAGTGGTTCAAAATCCACTAGGAGCTATGTAGTCGTCTAGCACTTCTCAACTTTGAAGAAGCGATACACGAACAATATATTCAACTCTTTGATATAGGTACATCAATATCTGGTACATTATGTTTTCACAAAATTATTATAAGAGTTCGTATACGAAGATGATCTTGAGAATTCTTGGTTGAACAGGGATGTGAAATCTGTTTGAGTCAGTCAATTCAGGAAGTTGCTGCTATTTCATCATCAGATGATCGACCATGATCTCCATCATTCCATCACCAGCAATAATCAGAGTCTAAATTGGAATAAGGTTCTTTTCGATATTCGCTCAGTTTATATTCTTCAACATCAAATCTTTCGTTCTGAAGTGTACCTGATGAAAATGCGTTGAAAAATGTTCTATATTCTACTGAGAAATTTAAATACCTCGCAAATTTCGTGGCCTGAACCCATATTCCATGCCGGCTGCATCATATTCTGTTTCCATTTTTGTAGAATTACGTTATCCGATTGAATTTTTTTTTAATCGCTTGGAGCGCACGAAAGGAAATCCCTATGATGTTCAAAGAACATCGTGCGTTCCTAGGGAGGATTGGGACAGGAGGTAGGTATTGTAATTTTACTTGAACTTCTGGAGATTATATGTTGTTGGGAATACTTCCTCAGGCAATGAATTCCAGAGCATAGCCGTTCTATGGATGAAGGAGTTTTGGTAAAGTGCTGTTCGACATCTTTCGAGGTTAACAACGAAAGGATGTGCTGACTGGGCTTGTCTAGTTCGACTGACTGGTATTGCTAGTGAAGGGATGATAGCAGAGATTTCCGAAGAACATTTCCCATGGAAGTATTGATAGAAAAGTGAAAGGTCACCGACCTTTCTATGGTGTTCCAATGATGTCAAAGAGGGAGTAAGTGTGGCGTCACCCACCAGGCGAATTGCTCTTCTCTGGATGGAATATAAGAGCATCAGCGTATGTTTTGGTACTGAACCCCATATGTGGGAACAGTATTCTAGAACAGGCCGTATCTGCACTTTGTAGAAATTCGAATAGAGTGAATTGATTTTCGGGCGTTCTCACAGTTGGAAACTGCACAAACTTGCATATTTCTCCTAATTCTCCCAATTAGTCAAACCGTTGAAATTTATGTCATGTACGTCCGTGTACTGTCAGTTACCGCTTTTTTCATCAATTTATTTGTGGTTATGTCTGATTGTCAGTGCTTGTCATAGTGTCCGTACTCTAATATACAAAAAATGTCAAAACAGCAGTGTCAAGTACATTTAGGAACTCTAGTATTAGTTAGATAAGAGTTCTGACACAGCTGAACTTCTGTCCTTCTCTCTTTTCTATATTACAATGGTTTGAGTGAATAAAAGAATGAGACATATATTCTGCTCTTTGTCTTTTCAATTTCCCTAGTAGCACATGATTGTCAGATACGATTTTAGAGGTTAGATTTTCTATCAAATCAATCATAGCATTAGATGGAAAATGGAAATAGGGTATGATCGTCCAGCTGCCCACATTTTTCGCAGAGCAACAGTTATACAAATGAAAAGAATCCATGTAACAACATTTTAATATGACCATATATAAAAAATAGACAGGTGTTTCTGTGGAACCACAAGTATATTTGATGGCAAATGCTTTATTTATTGTTTTGATTTTCCACCTTCTCCTGCATTCACTTTTCACTGATAGATTTTGAATTCGGTGGGTATTGAAAACAGCATTAAATGATGTATCACATTGCAATTTCTCAGTTTTGTTCTTAAATTTTCTATTGCATTACATAATTTTGCAATCAATTCCTCTTTATCCAGGATAACATTGTTTTGCATTTCCTGTGATGTGATAATAATAATGGCTTTTGTTTTATAAATGGATGGAACAGCCGATTCTCTGGAATGTATATCAAAATATTCTGTTTGAAAATGGGCCTAAAATATAGATTAATTCTAATCTGCTGTTACAAGATGTGAAATTTATTTGCTTGCCTTCAAGTTAATTTTTCATCCAGGCCGTTTCATAGATAAAGGTTGCTATTTCCTTTGGAAAATTAAATAAATTAAATTCTTGATGGAATCATTCTCTTCAGAATTCCCACAATTCATTACACAGCAGGACACTGTCATTTATACTTTTTACTCAATAGTTTATGAAATTATACTTCAATTCTGATGTTCATGGAATCTATTGTCAAATTCAAAATATTTTGAATGAAAAAGCACAGGACAACTATGGTAATCTTGTCATAATGCAAGGTGTATAACTTAATACATTTAAACATTCAAAAACACTAATAGGAGGTTATTTCTGTGTTGGAACTTATCTAACTAATACTATGCAGTGGCTCTAGACTTTACAAGATTGGACTTTTTCCAATGGAACATGCACATTCAGGAGCTGTCATATACCTTACTCACTCCTACTTATGTTCCCAATTTGCAGGAGAGCAATACTGAAGTGATTTTTGGGTGGATGGAATATGACAAGAGACTGGACTCCTAATAATTTGTGGGCTACTTGATGTAGCCTTGGATGTATACATATAATTTTTTTTGAATGCACAAAAGGGAAACCATTTTTTGTTAAGAATCATCTTGCATACCTAGGGAGCATAGGGTGAGAACATAGGAATTGGATTTTTTTTTATTTGGGGGTATTTAGTTCTTGGGAATACTTTATTTTTCTTATCCAAAGCTTTGCTGTTCCATATCTAACAAGTCAGTCCCTCTTTTGTCACTAATGGAAAAATAACTCACCTAGAATTATTGTAGACAGGATAAAAAAAGGATGGTTTGTTAATGACTGTGATAATGAAACTATCCTTGTCTCTGGATCAAGTATCCATTGGCTGGCCCCTGTGGCAACACATACTGAAACTGCTAACAACACAACTGAAATGGTAGTAAGTAGCATTAGTATACTGATCTACTGCTGATGCAATTGAAAGTACTTTGTACTTTACATACTTCTCCATCTGGTAGTGGAAGGATGTAGGCACGCTATAACTTCAGTCAGTCTCCTTTCAAAAGCTTTCAAATCTGAAAAATAAGGATTAATGATCATTCCTTGAAATGGAAAGGAACATTTTACCTACCTTCACCTTGTTCTGAAGACATGATGACAAAATCGGGAATTCAGAAAAACAAATAATTAGATATCTTATACTCAGGAACCCTGTGCTCAAGAATATCAGGAGCACGATTCAGGAGTCAGGATGATAAAATAACAAAACTAGCATAAAAACAGAATGATCAAATGAAGCAAATGAAAGAAAACAAAGCACATAACCTAGTTGATACTTCTTCTTTTATAGCCACCTTACTTCTTCTCTTCCATCTTTTCATTCCTTTCTCGTTGCGGCAACGGTAAAAGCATATATCTACTACTCATATATGAATCATAGCTGTCCTCAAAGCGGGACCAAAAGGCGTTGATGCCGACGTAGGGAAAAAATAATACGAAACTTATCAAACCAATATGACTGTTTCCATCCTTCACTTTCCGTCCTCATAGATTCAAAAAGTACCTCTCATTTTGGTTCCATTTTTGTTGAGATATCGTATAGACGATGGGCCATATATAGAAATAGTACAGATGACAGATATGATGCATATTGGTTTGACAAGTTTCGTATTATTATTCCCCTACGTCGGCATCAACGCCTATTGGTCGATTTCGTTGCCTATAGAGATAGAGACAGACGTTGGTACCGCTTTGAGGACAGCTATGATTCATATATGAGTAGTAAATATATGAAGAATACCCTCAGGAACACTGTCAACAACTGTCAACAACTGTCAACAACTGTCAACACTGTCAACAGTCATATTTTAGTTTTCACTAGTTTTCACTTTTTCACTTCAGTATTTCATGTCATGATTGAAATCGTGTTTGGATCACAGAACTCATATATTATAATATGATTATTATAATATATGAGTTCTGTGGTTTGGATAGTTTGCAAATTTGGATAACTAATCATAACTAACTAACTAACATAACTAACATATATTCAGTTCTGTTTCAATTCTCTGTACCTGTGAAAGATGGCATCTTCTTTAGAAAACCTGGAAACTCAGCTGGAAATGTTCATCGAAAATGTTCGGCAAATTCACATAATTGTTAGTGACTTCCAACCACAAAGTCAAAATGTGTTGAATCAAAAACTGTAAATATTATATCCTTTTCATTTTATATGGCTTCTTCAATGTTCTTTTTTTAGTCAATCTTTAGTTCATGGATTACAGGAGGTTGATAAATTGAAATCTCAGGTACAAGATGTCCATGTACCTTTGGAAGTCTTTGAGTAAGCAGAACTATTTATGATGGATAGACCCATACATTTTACTAATGAATGAAATTATTGCAGTTATATTGATCAGGGGCGTAATCCACAGTTATATACAAAAGATTGTATTGAGAAAGCACTAGCCAAAAATGAACAAGTGAAAGGAAAAATTGATGCCTATAGGAAGTTTAAAGCAAATATGTTATTAGAATTGAGTAGGACATTTCCTAATGAACTGAGCAAATATAGAGCTTTAAGAGGAGATGAATAAATCTGTGCAGTCCTTTATGAAGAATGTACTTTCTACATGTTACATAATAGTATTAACTTATATTTGAATATATTTACAGAGTGAGCAAAACTCAAAGCCTCAGCTCTTCCATGTGAAGAAAAACCATTAGCAAATCTGAATAGAGGTCCTTGTATGGGATTGAGTAAGATCCATTTTGAGCCAAATATCATATTTCTACATATTCAGAAACTGAAGTAATGATGCCATCTAGTTAATTGTGACATACCAATTTGAAAAAAGCTGATTTTCCTGTACAAATTTTGTGTAAAGAAAAGTTTGCTATCCTCTATTTGAATATTGAAATTATAGGAAAGTTTTTATAAAAAAGTATCCAAAATTTCACCATTATCACCATTTGAACATTTAGCCTTTGGAAACAATTAGCAAAGTCCTGAAACAAATTAATGAAAATATGAGTATAATTTCAATGTAATGTGTAGTGGGGACAGATCAGATGATTTGCCAAAAATGGCAGTATTATAGAGCTTGAAAGAAAAATTCAAACAATTGTCAGTGACACCTTGTTTTGATATATATCTGAAGAGATGGAAAGACACCAGGATAGGAAACTTTTTTCCCACAAAATAGGTACCTATGTTCAGAAATATCAACTTCTCAAATATGCTAAAATATAGGCATGTTTCCAGAGAAATAAAAGGAAGAAATAAAAGGGCTAATGGCATTAATTGAGTCTTCAAATATGGAAAATATACAAATTTAGTATTATTGTCTCATTGTTACTATTATTTTTATTATTATCCCTACTATGTAATGATTATACTATATAATGAATACTGGGCTGAAAGACTTCAGTCAATGGCCTTTTTCCCCAAGGATGGGTTGGATATGAATGTTCACTACAAGAGTCATCACTCAAACATTTGATTTTTATCAAAAAAGTAGCACTTTCTTCTTTCTTATAAAAATTGGTAATAAAGCTTTTTTCCTGTCATTTATTCATTATTTGTGAATGTCCAGCCATCCATATTTACCAAAAACAATGAAAATCTTTTCCAGATTTTCTACTTAATAATCCTAATATACAAGATGTAACATAAGTACATTAAAATATTGAAATAACTACTCATGAGACAATTTTAAGAAAAAAGGTCTGAATAACCTTTTTTCCACTAAACTATAAAACCTAACATTATTTACTCCTTTTCGAGGCGTAAAGTTCGTTTTTACTAGGAAGGTAGTTTTCGTCATTTTATATACCAATATCTTGCACCATCTGGCGTACCACAAGGCTCCAATCTGGGGCCACTTCTTTTCAACATTTTCATTAACGACATTGGTAATGTTATTGACGTGAACTTTTTGCTATATGCGGATGACATGAAATTATATAGGTGCGTGAATCACATAAATGATTGTCAACAGCTTGCTGACAACCTGGGTCGACTGGTAGAATGATGTCAAAATAACAGATTAGAACTGAATCCTGTCAAATGTAATGTCATGTCCTTCACATTGAAGTCGGACCCAATCGTTTTCAATTACTCAATTGATGACATTTCTCTTCTGAGACCTATAACATTCAAAGATCTTGGCGTTATATTTGATCAATCTATACCGTTTAATGATCATATATTTTGTACTATTTCTGTATATACAGAATAATAAATATTAATAAATTCAATAAGATTGACTTTCTCAAAATTCTTTATTTTGTTGACCCCACTATCTTGTTATTATTTCCTGTTCCTAAGGAACCTGTACATGCTAGATATATATTACATCCTCCCCCTTAAGTCAATATCCAATAATTTTCAATATATTACATAATATACAGTATATTACATCCTACCCCTCAATCGTATCTTTGATAATCTTTAAATTTGATTGGGGCGTTCACCTGTCGACCAAATCTGGTGCAGTAAGTTGGATTCATTCGACTCGAATTGTCCATGTGAACCACATCTTCATCAGACAATATATCATTGTTTTCTCTATCAAGAACATTTTCAACTTCAACAGGTTCAGAATTCCTCGACTGGTTTACAATATCCATGTCAAAGGCCTGAAGAGAATCACCAAGTTTTTTCAGATGATACCTATTTCTCCTGAATACTTTTCCGTTAGTAGTTTTTACTATGAAAGATCTTGGCGACTCATATTTTTTTATAACCTGACCATGTTCCCAGATATTTTTATGTCTCACTAATACACTATCACCTACATTCAATATTGGAAGTTCTCTTTTTGCATGCAAGTTATAAAAGCTTGCACTAACATTTTGTTTCCTAGCTAACTTATCTGCAACACCACCCTGAATTTGAGGTTTCAAAATTTTTGTGCAAACAGGTAATTTCGTCTTGCAAACTCTACTCATCAATAATTGACTGGGAGAAGCATTCATATATTTGAGAGGAGTGTTTCTATACTGCATCAGAGCAATATATATATCACCATTATCTTCTTTTGATTTAATTAATATTTTTTTTGCAATATTTACCGCTTTCTCTGCCAGTCCGTTGGACTGTGGATAATTTGGACTACGTGTAGATATTTCAAATCCCCAACTATTTGCAAATGAACGCAATAAATTTCCACCAAAAGGAATATTATCACAAACTAGCTCATCCGGAATTCCAAATCTTGAAAATATCATCTTCAGTTGCTTTATAACTTCATTGGATGATTTATCTCTCAAATATAATAGCTCAATCCAATTAGAGTATGAATCGAAAATCACCAAGTAACTCTGACTGCCATATGTAAATATGTCAGTTGATATTCTTTGCCATGGTCTCTCTGGAATAGGAAATGACTGAAGCGGTTCCTTGTGATTATTATTGGAATATTTCTGGCACGTATTACAGTGTTTTATGAAGTATTCTATATCCCTATTCAAATACGGCCAATACAATGCAGTTCTTGCTCGATTTTTACATTTTTCTATTCCAAGATGACCTTCATGCAATAAATGAAGCATTTCTTGCTGGAGACTCTTAGGAACAATAACTTTGTCTCCCAAGAATAACAGACCATCTTCAACTTGAATTTCATTTTTCAATTTGAGAAAATGTCTCACGCCTTCCGCTACTTTTTTTTTATTTGACGGCCAACCCTCAGTACAAAACTCAGATATCTGCGATAAGACTGGATCTTCTCTTGTTTTGTTTTTGAAATCTTGTTTTTTTAATTCAGACATAGGTAACGACTTTGATAATGAATGCATTGCATAATCTAACTCAGTATTTTCAGCATTATCTAATGCGGCTCTCGATAACGTATCTGCAATGTATAACAACTTACCTGGCATATATGTAACATTGAGATTATAAGCTAATGTCTTAATCAACAACCTTTGAAGTCGAGATGACACTTTATTCAAATCTTTTTTGAAAATCGCTTCCAGGGGCTTATGATCCGATTTTACTGCGATTGATGTATGTCCATAAATGTAAAAATGAAATTTCTCACATGCAAACACAATAGCTAAAAGCTCCTTTTCAATTTGTGCATATCGCTTTTCAGTTGCCGTTAGGCTCCTCGAAGCGCATGCCACTAAATGACCATCTTGTAATAAGCATGCTCCTAATCCATTTTGAGATGCATCACACTGTATTTCAGTATTTTTCTTCAAATCAAAATACTGTAGTATCGGTGCTTGAACTAGGGCATGTTTCAAATTTTCTAGTGACAAATCATGCTGATCTGTCCAATGCCAAGGAACATTTTCTTTCGTTAACTCTCTCAGCGGAGTTGTTATCTCTGACATATGCGGCAGAAATTTAGCTAAAAATTTGGCCATTCCTAGTATTCTTAATAATTCAGTTTTATTTTCAGGAGTTTTCATATCAACAATAGCTTTGACATAGTTATTGTCCGGGACAATGCCATTTTCACCAAAAATTTGACCCATGAATTTAACAGTTTTTTGTTTGAATTGAATTTTTGTTTCATTAAATTTAATATTATAAAGAACCGCTCTATCTAAAACCGTTTTCAAATTTTCATCATGTTCTTTTTCATCTTTGCCTCCAATGATAATGTCATCAAAATAGATCCCAGTACCTGGACAATCTGCAAAGAATTCAAAGTTTTTCCTTTGAAATATTTCTGGAGCTGAACAAATGCCAAATGGCAATCTCAAAAATTTAAATCTTCCAAAGGGTGTACTAAATGCGCACAAATCCGCACTCTCTTCATCCAAGGGAACCTGAAAATATCCATCTTTCATATCTATCACTGAAAATACTTTACAGCCATTCAGTTTGAAAGTGATATCTTCAAGGGTAGGAATCAGAAAATATTCCCGTTTGATTACTTTATTTAGGAATTGAGGGTTGAGACATAAACGGAGATCTCCATTTTTTTTTTCGACAATCACTAATTGACTAAGCCACTCTGTCGGTTTTTCAAGTTTGGAAATTATATTTTTTTCCTCTAACTCTTTCAATTTTGCTCTTAATCTCTCATGCAACATTAATGGAACCCGTTTTATTGGCTGAATTACAGGGATTGCATCTTTTTCAACTTCAATGTGATATTTGAACGGAAACTCTCCCAATCCATTAAAAACACTTTTGTACATCGATAATAAATCATCTTTATTCCATGAACCTACGGAAACATCATCAATACGTTTTATCAAGTTTAGCTTCAAACAATCACCTAGCCCTAATAACGGCATTTGATTATCCACATCAAGGATTATGAACTTTATAATAGAACATTTATGTTTAACCTCGCACAACAGTTCTACTTCCCCTATAGGACTTAGCTTGAAATTCCCATAGGAAAACAATGATATATTGGACCTTTTCACGTCCGACTGATTTATATTTAATTCTTTGGCAATTTTTGATGGCAAGATACTAACTTCCGCCCCAGAATCAATTTTAAATATTACCATTTTGTTTTTTATCAACAGTGTCTGCTTCCACAACTTCTCTCCACCCTGTGCAACGGAACTGATGTAGAATTCGGCATCTGGGCTGACAACAATCCCAGCTGAAGATTCCTCTGCTACTGCCACTTCATTTATATCTTTCTTCATTGATGGCCCTTTCAGTTTCTTACAAACAGCCGAGAAGTGATTTCTTTTATTGCAGTTGGTGCAAATTTTTCCAAATGCAGGACATTTACCATAAAAATGACTTCCTCCACAGAAAATGCATCTATCGAAAAACTTAGTTTTCGATGTACTTGCTTGGCTAACTGCATTGATGTCTGGATTTCCCTGCATTGCTTTAACTTGAGTCTTGCTGGTTTCTGCTAGCCTGCAAGTGTTGACTGCATCAATCAGCGTCAGTTCAGGATCTCTCAAAAGTCT